ACATATGATAGATAGATCGTCGCAGCAGGTGTGATCTCAATGAACAGCAATATATTTTCTTCGTTGCGCCTTCTGTCTTACGACCTTCAGTTTATCAAAATAATCTAAAGGTGAATGGAATCTTTCATGTCGAACGTATATGCCTTCACGTAATCATAAATGACTGATAATGCATTTAGCCAAAGGCATGCCATTAGCCAGAAAGCCTCTGCCTTCCAGAACATGACTGGATTGGATTACGGTTATTAAAACTGTCTAATTTTAAATTCACTTATGGGAACTGAAATGGCCTTTCAAAGTTCTCTGAAACACAATTAACTTGCAGCTTCGGCACTACTAATTGCCTTAGCGGGAGACTCAAAATGTAACGTCACAATTTTTCTAATGAGGCAGGAAAAAACTTGTAGGCATTCGCGTCCGTTGGACTGCAACTTGGTTGAGGAGTTCGTCTCATAAATCCTGAGTGATTATCTAGGTAATCAAATTAGGTATCTTATATTCCACTTTATTAAACAATAGAAAAATTACTCTTCATAACTAATATTTGCCCATAAATGTCGGTCTGTCTGTCATCTGTCAGGTAATTATTGGCCAGTTGGAAGGTGCTGTTTCAAACAGGTTTTGGAAATCGATTACGTGATGTTGGAATCAAGAGCGAAAAACTAATATTTCCCAAATTTCTATTTTCAACGTTTATTTGATTAGTCCGGTGATTTTTCATTGAACAATGTAGCACAAATACTTTAGTTTAGCCACAACTTTTACATCTTCTAGGTACTGTATTGACTCACCATTTTGTGAGGTTTGAGTGGAATTGCCTGATTTCCTTTTGAGACAATTCCTTCGTATTTATATTCTTACAAAGAATTACTATTTTTGATATTATTCCAATATTCACAATTAGTACCTATATGTGAAAAACGAATCACATGAATTTTTACCACCCAGTTTTTGAAATATTCGACTGCAAAGCTGATGTCCATAAATTCCGTTTCATGACGTAAAACTTTAGAAGCGCTAAATTGATATTTCAAAGTCGGAAGGTGAATAAGCATCTGTTCAGTTTTTGGAATAACAAGGTGGAGATCGCACACATCAGGACTGATTCCATCACTTGGTAAAGCAGTACACGCCAATTTTGTTGTTTCTAAACGTATTGCGTTTAACAATATAATGATAATGATAATAAGTTTATTTGTGGATAAGCATCGTACAAACATAACTAAAACTAATATAGGTATACGTAAATAAACTGAAGTCACCCACAGAAAAATGATTTCTTGTGCGTGGGAAAAAACAATAAAAATTACGAAGCACAAACTTAACTGGTACAAAAATGTCATTTTATCGATCTCAAAAATTAAAATGTTGGTGATAACTTTGCGCTTAAGGGGAGATGTTATATTTTGTAACGAGCTACCAGCAGAGTATCGCAAACTGGTCAGGAAATTTAGAGGCTCTTAACGTTATATTTCCGGAAGCGTGTTGGTGGAAGTTTTATATCTACAACGATATCATTTTCTTAAAGGAGAGCAGTTCAGAATAGCTTTTTTGAATAAGTTGTTAGCGGATAATACTTTTTTCATCGATATAATGTTATGTCTCGTTCAGACATAGGGCCAGCGCATTGAATGCAACTTTGTATGTTTTGTATCTATGTTGTTTTATTATAGTTTGAATTTTGACCGAGTATTCAAGCTTTGAAGATACCCGTTTTTGGGTTTTCCAGACATTAAATCGCTTATAACTCGAAAACGGACAGCTTTAGAGAAAATCTGGAACCTTCGTTTCATCCTGAACCTCATTTGTTCAGAATGATCCAAATAACTTGTCCGGAGCGAAAAAGACATTTTTGTGTAATTCATCACAAAAATTGGTCAAACAAATGCTATAGCTTTTGATTCACTTCCATCAACGCAACTGAGAAAAAAACTCGAGAGGTTTTCTCCTCGTGTAATATCCCAGCATCTGTTCATAAATAAACACTAGATATCGTGAACGTGATTAATTGATCAGTTTGGAATAATTAATTGTAGCTGATAAACTAATCCCTCACGTATTCTTAAATTTCCTGTTAAAGTTACAAATTACATTATAAGCATTCCATGGATTTATAAGCTCGCCTGCCATAATCTGGCAACGTTGCACCGCTCGCAACGGTATAGAGAAGCGGTGACCAGCAGCTTTGCTCAGCCATAAATTCTGATGAGACAAACCTATAAATGCTTATAAAGAAATGCCTGGTAAGCTATAAAAGACGAGCGTTAGATCCTCGCAGTATAAGTTAAAAAAAATACTCATACCTCTTAGTGCGTACTGAAATTTGAGAAAATACTTTACTATACTGATTCTGTATACTATAATCTGTAGCTTCAGAAGAAAATTTGTGGTTAAATTGAACGAGTCAACTTTTTAAAGGAATCACAAAAAAGTTTTTTTTGGGCCATTTGGGTCATTCTGAACAAAAAAGGTCCTTAGTAAGTTTTCTTCAAAATTGAGCATTTCTCAGTTATCAGCTGAGTCTAAAAACCTTAAAAATGGATATTACCCATTGTTAAAAAACTCTGTTAAAGATTATTACTTTTGTGATTACCAAGTATCTAAGTTTTTTAACTGAGACTGGCAACGTAGCGTACGATCTGGCAACACTGGAGACGCTGAGCTTGGAGGGGGGACAGGGGAACTTTCAGTACTAGTTTAGACTCGAGTCATTGGGTTGTCCGTAGCGATTTTTTTGGTCAAACAGTTTTTTCTATTGTTTTGCTTCAGACCTGGGCACAGTGCAAGGACACTCTTGCTAAACTTCAGCAGGCCTACGGAGATTGTGTTTTGTGAAGTGCCCAGGTTTTTCGGTGGTTCAGCGTGAGAGTCGACTGAAGATGAACCAGGAAGCGGAAGAACTTCATCTTCAGAAACCGATGATGTATCGACAGAGTCCGGGATCTTATGATTTTAGATCGTCAATTGGCTGTCAGAATGATCGGGGAAGAGTCAAGATCAGATCAAGAACAACTGGGTGTTGCATCACGATAATTCTCTTTGTCACACAGGAATGTCAATAAGCGCTGTGTGGCTGCAGAATAAAGTTATTTTGAGGGTGACAATTTAAAATCGTAATGATATTCGGATGAAAAATTTAAAAAAATTAGTATATTCACTTAATTTGCAGATCTCGTAGATAAGTGGGCGCAGGCTTATCTTCACGCAAGCATGGCTTTTGATTGTGGTAGATATCTTTTCATGGAATATGTCAGTCAATGGTAACACCGGTCGTATACTATTGTACATAATCTAGAAACTACACTGAACGAATGATAAGATTCTAGTAGGTAAGATTGATGGAATGACTCGGAAACTGAATCAAGATGGCACCGCTGCTATGCTAAAACTTCAATTTCCACAAGTAACTTCCATTTATGTACCAACAGAGATGTTTGGAATGGAAATCAGTTTCTGTTGAATTTCCAAGTCCTTTAGAATTCATAACTCGAGAGCAAGTCACGTTTTCTCAAACAGCTTGCTGCTTTTTATAGACTTCTTTTTCCATGAATTTTAAGATACCTTCGATCAGTACTTAATCAAATACGGCATCAAAAATTCAAAGAATAGGCGGAGCATAACAGAAAGCACCTAACAATATGTATAATGCTATGAAACTTCCTCGCTACTGGAAGTAAGAAACACACCGAGCGAGAGAGAGAGAGAGAGAGGAGAGAGAGAGGAGATAGAGAGAGAGAGGAGAGTTAGAGGAGAGAGAGAGAGGAGAGAGAGAGATCGGCCCCTAATTTGCATTATTTCTTGGATTTATTTCATTTTTTGAACTGGCTCCACCAACAAATTGAGTTTTCACATAAGTGACAAAGTACAGAATGCTACAATACAAATGTTTCATTATTACAAGCTTTAATTATTTGTTCAATTCGTCACTCTATAAATACGAATGTGGGACAAATACGTCTATTCGTTTCCTGAATCTTGAAAAGGAAAGTGCTAAGAAAATATTTTAAAAAATATAAACAGATAGTGTATCACACAAATTATAGTGAGTCAGTGTTATTTTGTTAGGGAGTGCTGGAGAAAAGTAAGTACATTATTTTTTATTAAATTTTAGTTTTGTACTCGTAGTTAGCAAAGATAGATAAATTACGCCAATCATGACTTTAGTTATTAGTAGTTAAATATTCAATCATGCAAAATTACGCGAGTACTCCTCAATAGTTTCTTTTTGAAACTTTTAGCAATCGGTAATATAATTACAGTGCAATCTCCGTAATTCGAGCTAATTGTTGCAAGAAGATGTTCGAATTATGGAATGTTTTCGGAAAAATCAAAAAATATTTTTAATATACAGCTGTTGGATTTCCTGTCTTATTTAAATAATTTAATTTTGCCCATAGGTGACTGATGCCATGTCCGAATCTAAAAATAAATGTAGACAGTACAGTGTTGATTATTTGAAATTTGGCTTCATTCCATCATTGCCGGACAAACAATCGCCTATGTGCCTTTTATGCAACAAAGTTTTGGGCAACGACGCTATCAAACCGTCTAAACTGCAAGATCATTTGAGAAGATGCCACCCTGATAAAACAGAGAAACATTTGAAATACTTTCAAACACTCAAAGATAAATTTCAGAAGAGACCTACACTGGACAGAATGTTCGCTTCGACGTCACAAAGAAATGATGATGGTTTGCGGGCGTCTTACAATATCTCGTTACTTATAGCAAAATCCGGAAAACCGCATACTATCGGAGAGAAGTTAATTTTGCCAGCCGTTGACGAGGTTTTAAAAACTGTTTTACACAAACCTGCATCTGATATCATTAAAAGAATTCCCTTAAGCAACAATACTGTTGAAAGACGTATCGATGAAATGAGTTCTGATATTGAAAGCTTCTTCTATTCTATTATTCGTATTTGCAAACGACCCATTTCTCTATACAACTGGACGAGTCAACTTTACCTGATAATGCAGCATTATTATTGGCATATGTTCGTTTTATTATGAATCAAGAAATCTACGCAGAACTGCTCTTCGCAAGAACTTTGATAACCGACACTAAAGGTGAATCAATATTTCATGTTTTGAAGGATTACTTCATTGAAAAACCAATTCCTTTATCAAATATAATATCAGTAGCTACAGATGGAGCACCTGCCATGGTTGTAAGTTATCGTGGATTTATAAGCTATTTAAAACAAAATGTGTCAGGGGTGTTAGCAATACATTGCGTCATCCATCGACAACATTTAGTTGCTAAAAATTTGAGTGTTAGATTGCATGAATCACTTCATTTAGTCATTGATGCAGTAAACCGAATCCGAAGCAACACGTTGAATATGCGGTTATTTGCGCAGTTGTGTGAAGAAAATGACGAACACTTTCATCAATTACTCCTACACACTGAAGTACGCTGGCTGTCGAAAGGCTTAGTTTGACAAGATTTTTTGCACTTTTTGAGACTATTTTAGAATTTCTGAATACTAAAGATAAAATTTTAAAAGAACATTTAGTGAAGAGGAAAACAGACATCGCCTATTTAATAGATTTGTTTACAAAAATTAATATGGTTAATTTGGAATTACAAGGCGACAGTTGAAATATGATTAAAACAAGTCCATCTTATCAGCGTTTCTTGCCAGAGTTAAACTAATGAAGCAAAATATTGGACGGGGCGAATTTTCTCAGTTCCCCAATTTGTCACAGACAAGCTGCCAGGAAGACGACGTTTCAACTTGCGTTCAACATTTAAATGCCCTCTATTCAGATTTTGAATCTAGGTTTGTGGATATTTTGACTATGGTAATACCACCGTGAATAATTAATCCATACGGTGACAGAGAAGAAACGAATGCCATAATACAAGAGGAACTGACTGAGCTAAGTACAAACGAAGAACTTAAGGTTCAGTTTAAAAACGGATATCAGCAATTCTGGCTGCAAAACAACATACCCGTTGCTTATCCCGTATTATGGAATATAGCGAGGAAATTTTTTATTTCCTTTCCATCGGCATGCCTAGTGGAAAGGGGGTTCAGCGCTGTTACCAATCGCCTAACGAAAAAAAGAAACAGACTGGACATCATTGGCCAAGGAGATTTAAGATTAACCCTTACAAAATTGACGCCAAATGTTGATAATTTATTATTAAAGCATCAGGTTTATCCTTCTCACTAAAAATATTGACTTGTTGCTTATGTTATTTTATTTATAGTTTATTTTATGTTTATTGGCGTCTGACCAATAAATGCCCGCATTGGGAATAGGTGCCCGCATTAATTTTTTTAAAGAAACCCCCTTTATAGAAAATATTTTTTTTAAATTATTCTGAAAATTCAAGGATAGGTACACACTAAAATTCGTTAATTTTTTGCCTATTTTTAGATAACTTAAACGTATAAGAAGCGGAATTTAATCAAACTAACAGTGAAATTATTGTAGCACATACGTTTATGTTATAATTAATAAACGAACTCGCTTTTCACTTTTTTTTTATTTTATCCCTCTTATTTTTTTTCAATGCGGGCACTTATTCCCAATGCGGGCACTTATTGGTCAGACACCTGTTTATTTAATGTTACGTATATTTTACATAACAGATACAAAATTTTATTTTGAGTAGTTTTAATTTAAATTCAATTAATAAATGTATAAATTAACATGTGTTTTTACTTTAAGTTTTTAACACTAAACTTCACTACAGTTGTAAATCAATATCAGGTAAGTAGGGGGTCTACCCAACATGGAAAAACATGGCAAGGGGTCTACGACACAAAAAAGTTTGTGTGTGTCTGTTCTATAGCATAGATATCAATGCATGCAATAAGCAGGTGATGCCACAAAATGGTTATTCACGTCCGTTATTGTCATGAAAGAGCATGATGAGATAAGCGAAATAGGTCGAGCAAGGACATTCTAAATCCAATAATGCGGCCGCTTCATTGCCACAGTCATACATAAGTATCAAATTCCAGGGCCTGCTGAGGAAAACATCAAAATCAACGTGAAGTCATTATATATCCAATATGGCGACGGCCGCTAAATGGCGATTTATAATTTCCATGTTCACCTATATGATAATAAAATATAAGCATATTGTAGCCGGCAAGATGCCCAGATACATTTAGCATTCTTGAGAATTGTGCAGAATATAAATATATATTCTGTATTTCGAGTTACTCGTCAGAATAATGAAACTCATAGCTATTAGTATTGGTTTCTGAAGTTCCAAACTTTGTATTAGTAGCTGTGATGAGAACCACGGTCATTTGATGTTGAACAGATATATGTATATATGGTATTGGTAAACCAAATTTATACTTGGTCCGAGGTTAAGCCCGGCTTGGGAGCTTGATATCAGATCAAAGCAGCTGGTAAGATCCGGTTTTATCTTCCAATTCCTGACAGTGCAGGCGAACAAGGGTTCCGCTCCGGAGCTCTTTGCAGATATATATAGCTTGATGATTGTCATTTACGGTAAAACAAGTGATCTTGGTAGGATATGGCGACAAAATATTAAGCTTATTATGCCAAACTGTTTGGTCCATCTGCGACAAGAATCTTATTGCAAACGGTTCCTGGTGAGCAGAGAGACATAAAGCGATATCTGCTTAGAACGGGTATAGCACACACTACGATTTATCAAACCTTTTTTAGGATTTTGAGGGCGAAAATTCATTTTCTTGAGGTCAACGTGAAGTTGGGTCACCTCCTTTATTGCTATGGCTGCCTTATACCAAACCAAAACTATGGGAAGGGGGACATTTTTTGAAGTAATCAATAGGTGATATCTTTTTGAGATTTGGTGATACAGCTATTAATGGCGGACTGCCTGGCTGTCAAACTTGAGCATTTTCGTATATTGTACTAGGTTTCACATGCTGAAAATATACCTTCTTAGACTACAGCCGAGCCCGCCTGTACAAAAATAATGCTGGCTGAGTGAAAATATGCGAGTATGTGATCGGCGCCAAACTTCTGCTTCAGTGTTTGAAAAACTGGTGACATTCTAAAAACCCTAGCATCACGTACAGAGCCCCGATAACTAGTAAATATACTAATAATTCCAAAATCTTGGTCGCATGTAAGTTGTGTCCGCAATTGAACTAATTATAGTTATATATATATATATATAGTTATATCATAGAAATGTACTCGTATTGTCGAGATCTATGAAGTAAAAAAGCAATAAATGAAAATTAGAATATGAAAGGAACTATTACATAATGATGAAATCTAAATACATCAGTTATTTGAAGGTTTTCTAGGCAAACTTTACATATTCAGAAATTCGCAACTTTGCTCGGTGCATCGGTAGAGTAGTATCATTTTCTATTCATATATGATAACGAATCATCCTCTGGTTTGTCAATCTTTATATGAGTTCCGTCAATGATACCAACGATTCCAGGAAATCTATTTTTATTGTAGAAATCCTGCATTGTCGTATATCTTTGTTCTTCTTCTTCATCGCAACTGCTATGACGAGCTTAAAGAAACTTTGTTAGTCCGATTTTTGAACTGTCTGAGGTTAGTAGAACTGGGAAAAGCCTCCTCATGTAGATTGTCCACATTCTCGTTAGCTTAGAGACAAAGGAGCAGTCGTATCGGCCAGTTCTGGATGTACGAAGTTCCACACGGTTAGGATGGGAGGCCGAACTCAGGCAGGTCTATCTGGCAGGCATATCGCGCGGCGGCATCATCGAGGAGAGCTCTGAAGAGAGAAGCCCTTAGCTTTGCTGTAGAAGGGAGCTAGACAGCCGACGACCCGCCAGCGCAAAAGTATCCCGCGACTGTCGGTCAGCTAATGCCTGTTGCGAATAAATTTTAGTCATCAAGATAGTTTCGACACACTCTGATACCTGTCACACCGGAATAGCTGTCGGCAAAGAGTCAGAAACTGTACGAACAGGTAACATCTCACTGATTCTGATTTTGACAGTTACAAACCATTAATGCAAAGAGGTCAAAGGGTTAGTAATCAACCAAGGCAGATTATATTTCACAGTTCACTTTCATCTATCATACCAACAAGGATTCATTTGAATGATGAAAAAACTTCCATGAAATTATACACAAACTACCCTTAAACATCTAAAGTTACTCTAAAACGACAACCAACTGCAATCTACATAATGTGTCATCAAATGAGAGTAACTAAACTACTTCCGTTAGCATGATTGTTTTTGATAGGTCTCCTCCAACTAGCAGCTAAATCATACTGCTGTCGGCTAATTCAGTTCGAGTATTTAGATGCGTTTGTTTAAGACCTATGGGCTTTCAGTATTGCGGGTAATTTGCCAATTTATTTTCTCTGTCATTGTAATCAAATATGGAATATATTGCGACACGTCATAGGAGATTCAGAGCCAACACCAACGGAAACACCGATTTCAATATTAAGGCTCTAGAGCAGGAGTTCCCAACGAGGGGAGCGCGCCTCCCAAGGGGGGCATAGGGAGATGTCAAGCGGGGCGACAAGCGTTTATATTTGCAAAAAAAATAAACAAACAACATTAACAAATAACATTACAATGTAATGTTTAATTTACACGCATAAAATTAGAAATTAAATAACATATTAACTTATTTTGTCAACCCGGCGTCATCAATCGCAGATTATATAAGTTTCGACAAGTTACAATATGAAATCCGCGCGCACCCCCGCCGCGCTCCTCTTAACATTCGTCACTTATAAAACAATTGTGTACCTACCAGACGTAGAAGAGCATCTGTAACCTCCATTCTCACAAACTTGCGAAAAATTTGACGTTTCGATATACATGTTTTGTTGAGAAATCTGTTTGAGTGTGTCAAATTATTGCGTCTCACTGTTAAAAGGTCAGTTTGTGTATTTCAGTTACCAATTTTATTTTATTTATTAAATTGTTGATTGAGTGAAGACGCGTTCATAGATCGGCCATTGGGACTTTTTTACCACATCACAATCAAACCAGCGTGGCGAAATAATTTTGAAACGACGAACTTTAAGTACCTAATATTGATTCCAAATGTATTGAAAATTACTATTATAACCTCAACCTGCCTACAAAAATATAAATCACCCAGTGGCCAATATACTGTTGAATACATTACGTTATTAAGATAAAATAATGGGCATATAATTAGTAGTTACATGTTTTCCGAAGATTAGGTAAAGTTTGGATTTACCTTCATAGAAAAAGACGAGTTACAATTTCCTCCGTATGCAAGATAGCAAGAGGCCCAACCGCCTTGATAGGCATTTGAAGCAACAACATCCTACTCTGGTTTTGAAGAAAGCTGAATCACTCAAGCGGATGAGACTGGACAAATCGGGAAGTTATCACACAGGTGTATCGCAGCATCTCAAAACTTCTTTTGAAATAGCTCTTATGATAGCAAAGCAAAAGAAACCTCATACTATCGGTAAAGAATTAATAAAACCATGTGTCCTAAAAGCCACGCAGATAATTTTAGGAGAAGGTGCAGAGCAAAGAATGAAGTCTATTTCCCTTTCGAATAACACAGGCGTAGAATCGATAACATTGCAGCAGACACAAAGTTACAAATAATTAACAAAGTAAAATTATCGCGATTTTTTGCCATTAGTTGCGATGAATCCACCGGCATCGTTAATTGTGCACAGTTAATGTTCGTTACCTCGGCGAAGATATCCATTCAATGAGAGATTTTGTACTCCCAATATTTGACAGCAGGTACTACATCTGAAGATATATTTAATTCAATATCAAATTTTGTCGAAAAAAATTATTCGGATTGGAAGAAACCCATTGGAATTTGCACAAATGGCCCACCTGCAATGATAGGTGTACGACTGGACTTAGCTACGAGTAAAAAGCTCAAGGAAAAAATCCCGCAATGGTTAGTACACATTGTGTTATTCAGCGGTAAGCTTTGGCTTCCAAAAAATTGCCACAGAAATTACGCCAGACTTTGGACGTGGCTATAAGGATTGTAAACTACATCAAGAGTCGCGCTTTGCACAGTTGGTTATTTACAGGGGTTCATAACAAACCTTACACTTTGGAATAAAAAAAGTGCCTTCTGAAAATGTTACATATTTTTCTTGGCTGTTCAGAGCAATTAAAAATAACATACTGGACGCAAATTTAAAAGCTGACATATATAACTCATTTTCAAGCGCTGGAAGACGAATGTCGCCGATACTATCGAGACATCAATTCAGACTTCCATCCTTTAACATTGGAGAAATTTTGTATTAAAAGATTGCCTGTTAATTCGACACTTGCCTCGGCTGCTTTTCGAATACTAGTTCCTTTTCCTTCAACTTACTTACGTGAGACAGGCTTTTCTGCTCTAGTTTTAGTTAAATCTAATCAGCGAGATCGTCTTGATGTCGATAGCCACCTGATGATAGCTCTGGCAAAAACAGAACCTAGAATCAACCAACTGGTACAGAACCTGCAATCTCGAGTGTCTCATAAGTACCTACTCTTATTTTATTCAAGTTTTTTGATAAAAAAGCATTTTTTAGTTTATTTAAACTTTTAAAGTTTCTTTATTAGAATTAAAATAAAAGTCTTTGTACCTATATGATGTGTAACGTTTTTTTGTACTTATTTTATTTTCTATTGTAAAAGCTACCTTTTCGTCAAATTTCCGGTTGCATACTCCATTCTTAGTTTAAGTCAACGCAGAAGGCGAATAACAATAGTACCATTTAACCAACGTCAATAGTTGGACATATTTTTCGACTTATGTTATTGATGCATTGAACGTATTGGATCCTCGCACTCTACAGGATGTCAAAGTCAGACGTAAGAAGGGGTTTCAATGAAAATTTAGACTTTGGCTCGACTTAGGTAGGTTCTTGCTACCTTAAAAAAACATAATACTGGACGAGATGAAATGCTTAATTCTGAGCATTTCAAGATAAACCTAAAATGTTGATATTTGGAGAAATGGAACGGGATTAACTGAACATAAGCCAGTCAAAGAAGGCAAAGCTGAAA